GGGATATCACCTTTAATGACTTGCGACTCAAAAAAATCATTAAAGCCCATCCTTTCCACCGGGTTTCGTTTGAGCAAGTGTCGTATCGTCTTCTTCATAGCTTCTGACGCCTCGCATTGTTCTGGAAATTTGATTCCATCATTGGTTTTCTCGATCTTTTGAGCAATTCCACGTGGTTCGTGGCTCTGAAATACGGCTTCCCGACTACCATTTCATACAAAACAGTGCCCACAGACCATAAATCAGCTTTAGCATCGTATTTCTCATACCGTAGGATTTCAGGAGCCATATAGAGAGGTGAACCGCAGAGAGTATCGGCAAGAGAAGTTGAAGGGAGTGAGCGAGCAAATCCGAAATCCGCCAGTTTGAGCAAGGGCATGGAATCCAGGCCTGCAAGTGGTGTGAATAGATCTTCATTTCCCTTGTAAGGAGGAATCCGGTATTCTCCCCTGGCGATGGACCGGGGAGAGGGATTAAGCAAAAGATTTTGAGGTTTAACGTCGCGATGGACCAAATCTCTAGACCTGAGGAAATGGAGGGCACTCGCAAGCTGTTTCAGAAAATGGCGCACAATAACTTCATTTAGACCGCCACTTTGAGGGTTTGGATATCTTAGTATCAGATCACGAGTCAGCTGGTGCCTTACTAAGGAATCGCGCTTCTTGATGAAGATCGAGAGGTCACCAAGGACACAATATTCCATGACAAGATGGATCTCGTTGGCGGTCTCTTGGCAATCTAGAAGCATCACGATATGAGGATGATGGACAGCCTTGAGGATGTTGATCTCTAATTTCAAATTATCCTTCAGTTTCTTGTTTAGCCTTGCCATGTTCACAGACTTTATCGCAACGAGGGTTTGATTCCGCTATTCATATGTCAGCACATAAACTTCAGACGAAAAATAAAATATATACGACGATATATATATATCAGGCTCCGGGGTACGTAAACGGCAAGGGGAAACACCAACATTATGAACACCCTGATAAACCGTGGCGAAGCTGCCACGGCCAATCTCCTCTAGACGGGTATAGCTCCCGACCTGTATGGGGACGATATCCATTTCTTTGCGTCGTCTGGAGTGTGGCGGCCTAGTTGGCGGAGTGGCATCCTTGGGAGAATTCATGATGGGCGGACAGTGCAAATACACAGGCACACAGGCACACGGGAACGCACGCACGTACGCAAACAAACAAGGATCATGAATCCCCAGAATCGATCACACCCTCGACAGCGGTATAAAAATCGTTTGCTTAGACCGAGGTCCCATCAGGAGCGGCTCGAAAAGTCAGATAATCGAAGAAGGGGGGCGTGGGAGGCGAAGGGAAGGAGAAGGTATTCAACAGGCGAATGCGAGACGGATCAGCGGTCTATGTCTAAGTTAGAGTCGAGATCGTTGATGGCAAACTAATTCGAGGCCGACCAACAGGTCAACTCTGTTGAACAAGGTGGAAAGCGCAGCACTGAGCACTAGATAAAGGGACAAGGAGAGAATAGACCAGGGGATGGTCGTTGATAATCGGGACTGATAGACTGGACTGTCTGATGGAATCAAGGTGAGGTCACAGGATCCTAGACAGTAAGGCAAATCACTGCAGGTAGCTTAAGTTAGCTAAAGCGGAGCGGAGTGGTGACGATCGATGGCCAGCTCCGGGTAAAAAGGTCCAAGAAGAAGAGGAAGAGCGAGGAGAAGACGTAGAGGAAATGGCGGCAGCAAGGGACCAAGGGGGATGTCTGAGGGAGGATGGAAGAGGACGAGGAAAGATTCGCCGGGTACCTGGAGATGTCTGTGACAGTCTGGTGAGCTTCTCTTTTTGTGTCAGAGGATGGACGAAAGCTAGTAAAGTTGTATGGGCCAGGGTTAGCGGGCGGTGATTGGCGGATACAAAGCAAGGCGAGCAGCCCAGCAACAGAGGAGACGGAATCGCCCAGGATGGGTTTGTGATTTGTCTTTTTTTATTTATAATTTTTGTATTCAATTTTCAATTTTTAATATTTTTTCCCCCTGATTTTATTTTCCTCGTTCAATTCTCCGTTGGATCGTGGAGCTCACAGGTTTAATTAATGGGCTTGGGAGGCGGCGATAAGACATCGAAAAACGATTAATGATAAGAGCAACTAGCAAGGGGGTACGTTACCGTCGTCCTATGGGAT